ATCAATTACCAACCAATACACCCGAGCTACCAATATTCCAACACATTACCAACACCTAATGAATCTCCGGTGAGTTGCCAAACTATTATTCATGGTTGGAAAGAGTGATTAGTTTCTTAGATTGTCAGATACAACGACAAACCATTGTTTGATAGCTAAGCAGGTCGATATACGAGGATTGTACATGCGGTCATTTGGATTCTGGTTGATTTGCAGACACTGCGAATGTTGGAACGAGGGATGTCTTGCAACCTAATACAAAGAAAGTAGCACAGCTCTGAAAAGACCGCGAATATGCAAGGATTTCATTGATTCTCTATATCTAGTCAAACTTCTAATCTTTCCAAGCTAACTGACACAACTATTTCCGACTTCATCCTTCACTGTCAGATTTCACCGGATAAAAGTCGTGAGGACTTACGTCAGCATGGCTTTTGCTAAGTGGAAAGAGGCTTTTGAACTATGAATCTAACCCTTCACGTATTGACGCCGCTACAGTCTGGTATATAAATGAATCGACACTAAGTTCATTCAGAGACAACAGCCTGCTCAACCGCGACGGTTCCAAGAGATATGATTAGAAAATTTTGAATTCATTTGTCTTTTGATCAGTACATCCGAAAACATCCCCCGCGCTCATGAATACCTGTGCTGATAGGTCACATTGCCCACAGCATCCCCATACAATATCTGTGTAATTTATCTGTAAGACCATATCAGTAAATTTCAGCGCGAAAATTCCCAAGAAACCTATCGTGCTAAGTGGGTGGCCACAGTTAAGTATTTTCCTTAGAGGAAACCGCTTTGACCGCGTGACTATTTGGCGCTGGATGGGGACAACAGTTCATCGGTATGCTTTATTGTCGCAACCTTAATGGGACCAGTGATGTGACCTCAAGATTGGAGGTTGACAAGAACTTGAGTCCTCAACGATGGGCAGTTTCAATCTGATACGTGCCATATTTTTACACGAACTTCTTAGCCATGAAACCTCAACGGCGCGTGTATTTGCGCAGCGAGGGAATTATCCAGGGTTGTCCACGATGTTTACGGTTAAGATGTTTACAGCGAACTAAACTGGGCCCGCGGACTTTATCAAGGCAAGCCGATATGTAGGTAGGCTAGTCTATCAGGCAATTTTGCTAGCACCGTATCCCCTTCGTGTGCAGTGAGACCTTCGATGGAACCTGCTGAGAAGCGACGCCTTCACGGGGAGACACGTGAGGTAAAACTTATTTTTCCGGCTATCCCAATTTCTCTCGACCTCTTGCAATCAAGACCATTCGGGGTCTCGTCCAAGCCGAGGTTTGACAAGAACACTGCCTCTGTATAATTCAGCCTACGGATTTGTTATTTAACTTCAGTTGCTCACCGGCTGCTTGCAGAGAGATCCACCAAAGGGTCCACCAGCTGAACCTAAGCACTGTTAGGTAAAAGCCCATCATCTGCGGATGTTGTATTCACATCATATCCTGCTTCATTCTCAACATGACTGTTCTGATTCATCCCCAGTAAAGCTAGCTGATATTGGGCTCGAGTAGCGCTCTTCTTAGAGCTAACCCACAGTTCACACTCCTGTACGTGCGCACCTTCGAACCCGAGAGATTTAACATGTTAGGTCAACCTGTTAGCACCACCTCACCAGTGTCTCCTGGACGCACCTAAATTATCACGTCAGAACCGACGAAATTACTCGTATCCGAGAAAAATGTGTTGTTTTGTCCGACGCCTCAAACCGAGTATGCTGTTTTGCCGACCGACTGACCGCCTGTCCGAACATACAGGTCAG